ACTAAGTTCAGAAATTATATTGAAAAGAATGAAGCGCGGGTGCTGAATTTTATTGGACTTATTTAAGGGTGCATACTAGTAGATTGTTTAACAATAAGAATATTTTCCAAAATTAGAGTCAAAACGCCCCTAAATTGGGACCATTCATCCCTATATGTTTATCGAAGAAAAACGACTAAGTTCAGAAATTATTTTCAAAAAACTTGAGCGAGGCGCATTGAATTTTATTGGGCTTCTTTAAGGGTGCGTACTAGTACATTGTTTAACAATAACAATATTTTCCAAAATTAGAGTCAAAGCGCCCCTAAATTCGGCCTATTCATCCCTATACGTTTATCGAAGAAAAACGACTAAGTTCAGAAATTATTTTCAAAAAACTTGAGCAAGGTGCATTGAATTTTATTGGACTTATTTAAGGGTGCATACTAGAAGATTGTTTAACAATAAGAATATTTTCTAAAATTAGAGTCAAAGAGCCCATAAATTCGGCCTATTCGTCCCTATACGTTTGTCTCAGAAAATCGACTGTTTAAAAATTATTTTCAAAAAACTTAAGCGAGGGGCATTGAATTTTATTGGACTTATTAAAGGGTGCATACTAGTAGATTGTTTAACAATAAGAATATTTTCCAAAATTAGAGTCAAAGCGCCCCTAAATTTTGCCTATTCATCCCTATACGTTTATCGAAGAAAAACGACTAAGTTCAGAAATTATTTTCAAAAAACTTGAGCAAGGTGCATTGAATTTTATTGGACTTATTTAAGGGTGCATACTAGAAGATTGTTTAACAATAAGAATATTTTCTAAAATTAGAGTCAAAGAGCCCATAAATTCGGCCTATTCGTCCCTATACGTTTGTCTTAGAAAAACGACTAAGTTTAAAAATTATTTTCAAAAAAATTGAGCGAGGGGCACTGAATTTTATTGAACTTATTTAAGTGTGCATACTGACAGATTTTTTAGCAATAAGAATATTTCCTAAACTTAGAGTCAAAGCACCCCTAAATTCGGCCTATTCGTCCCTATAAGTTTGTCTGAGAAAAGCGACTAAGTTTAAAAATTATTTTCAAAAAACTTAAGCGAGGGGCATTAAATTTTATTGGACTTATTTAAGGGGGCATAATAGTAGATTGTTTAACAATAAGAATATTTTCTAAAATTAGAGTCAAAGCGCCCCTAAATTTGGCCTTTTCATCCCTATACGTTTGTCTTAGAAAAACAACTGTTTAAAAATTATTTTCAAAAAACTTAAGCGAGGGGCATTGAATTTTATTGGACTTATTTAAGGGTGCATACTCGTAGATTTTTTAACAATAAGAATATTTCCTTAAACTTAAAGTCAAAGCACCCCTAAATTCGGCTTATTCATCCCTATACGTTTGTCTTAGAAAAACGACTAAATTTAAAAATTATTTTCAAAAAACTTAAGCGAGGGGCATTGAATTTTATTGGACTTATTTAAGGATGCATACTCGTAGATTTTTTAACAATAAGAATATTTCCTAAACTTAAAGTTAAAGTACCCCTAAATTCGGCCTATTCATCCCTATACGTTTGTCTTAGAAAAACGACTAAATTTAAAAATTATTTTCAAAAAACTTAAGCGAGGGGCATTGAACTTTATTGGACTTATTTAAGGGTGCATGCTCGTAGATTGTTTAACAATAAGAATATTTTCTAAAATTAGAGTCAAAGCGCCCCTAAATTTGGCCTTTTCATCCCTATGCGTTTGTCTTAGAAAAACAAATGTTTAAAAATTATTTTCAAAAAACTTAAGCGAGGGGCATTGATTTTTATTGGACTTATTTAAGGGTACATACTAGTAGATTGTTTAACTATAAGAATATTTTCTAAAATTAGAGTCAAATTAGAGTCAAAGCGCCCCTAAATTTGGCCTATTCTTCAAAATTTGTCTTCAAAATTTTACACAACTTGTTATACTCTTCCGAATTACTTCAAGAAATTAAGCTTAAGGTACCATTTGTTAAGCTAAGGCAAAATAATACTATTTTTGTAGTTAACAACACAACTTCCCCACTTATTAAGATCTTGATCACTTTAAATAAGTTATCCTCAGTTAATGATATCGACTTTTTTCACGATCCCCTAAATTCAATAATAAATAAAATTAGATCCTAGTCCTAATATTTGTTCAGAGCCCCAGTACCATGTAATTGGAATTTTTATTCTGTATGGTTTCTGGTTAAATAAATAAATAAATAAATAAATAAATAAATATTCATCCCTATACGTTTGTCTTAGAAAAACGACTAAGTTTAAAAATTATTTTCAAAAAACTTAAGCGAGGGGCATTGAATTTTATTGGACTTATTTAGGGGTGCATACTGGTAGATTTTTGAACAATAAGAATATTTTGTAAACTTACAGTCAAAGCACCCCTAAATTTGTCCTATTCATCCCTATACGTTTGTCTTAGAAAAATGACCAGGTTTAAAAAATATTTTCGAAAAACTTAAGCGAGGGGCATTGAATTTTATTGGACTTACTTAAGGGTGCATACTAGTAGATTGTTTAACAATAAGAATATTTTCTAAAATTAGAGTCAAAGCGCCCCTAAATTTGGCCTTTTCATCCCTATGCGTTTGTCTTAGAAAAACAACTGCTTAAAAATTATTTTCAAAAGCTCAAGCGAGGGGCATTGAATTTTATTGGACTTATTTAATGGTGCATACTCGTAGATTTTTTAACAATAAGAATATTTCCTAAACTTAAAGTCAAAGCACCCCTAAATTCGGCCTATTCATCCCTATACGTTTGTCTTAGAAAAACGACTAAATTTAAAAATTATTTTCAAAAAACTTAACCGAGGGGCATTGAATTTTATTGGACTTATTTAAGGGTGCATGCTCGTAGATTGTTTAACAATAAGAATATTTTCTAAAATTAGAGTCAAAGCGCCCCTAAATTTGGCCTTTTCATCCCTATGCGTTTGTCTTAGAAAAACAAATGTTTAAAAATTATTTTCAAAAAATTAAGCGAGGGGCATTGAATTTTATTGGACTTATTTAAGGGTGCATACTCGTAGATTTTTTAACAATAAGAATATTTCCTAAACTTAAAGTCAAAGCACCCCTAAATTCGGCCTATTCATCCCTATACGTTTGTCTTAGAAAAACGACAAAATTTAAAAATTATTTTCAAAAAACTTAAGCGAGGGGCATTGAATTTTATTGGACTTATTTAAGGGTACATACTAGTAGATTGTTTAACAATAAGAATATTTTCTAAAATTAGAGTCAAAGCGCCCCTAAATTTGGCCTTTTCATCCCTATACGTTTGTCTTAGAAAAACAACTGTTTAAAAATTATTTTCAAAAAATTAAGCGAAGGGCATTGATTTTTATTGGACTTATTTAAGGGTGCATACTCGTAGATTTTTTAACAATAAGAATATTTCCTAAACTTAAAGTCAAAACACCCCTAAATTCGGCTTATTCATCCCTATACATTTGTCTTAGAAAAACGACTAAATTTAAAAATTATTTTCAAAAAACTTAAGCGAGGGGCATTGAATTTTATTGGACTTATTTAAGGATGCATACTCGTAGATTTTTTAACAATAAGAATATTTCCTAAACTTAAAGTTAAAGTACCCCTAAATTCGGCCTATTCATCCCTATACGTTTGTCTTAGAAAAACGACTAAATTTAAAAATTATTTTCAAAAAACTTAAGCGAGGGGCATTGATTTTTATTGGACTTATTTAAGGGTACATACTAGTAGATTGTTTAACTATAAGAATATTTTCTAAAATTAGAGTCAAAGCGCCCCTAAATTTGGCCTATTCATCCCTATACGTTTGTCTTAGAAAAACGACTAAGTTTAAAAATTATTTTCAAAAAACTTAAGCGAGGGGCATTGAATTTTATTGGACTTATTTAGGGGTGCATACTGGTAGATTTTTGAACAATAAGAATATTTTGTAAACTTACAGTCAAAGCACCCCTAAATTTGTCCTATTCATCCCTATACGTTTGTCTTAGAAAAATGACCAGGTTTAAAAAATATTTTCGAAAAACTTAAGCGAGGGGCATTGAATTTTATTGGACTTACTTAAGGGTGCATACTAGTAGATTGTTTAACAATAAGAATATTTTCTAAAATTAGAGTCAAAGCGCCCCTAAATTTGGCCTTTTCATCCCTATGCGTTTGTCTTAGAAAAACAATTGTTTAAAAATTATTTTCAAAAACTCAAGCGAGGGGCATTGAATTTATTGGACTTATTTAAGGGTGCATACTGATAGATTTCTTAACAATAAAATATTTTCTTAAATTAGAGTCAAAGCACCCCTAAATTCGGCCTATACATCCCTATACGTTTGTCTTAGAAAAACGACTAAATTTAAAAATTATTTTCAAAAAACTTAAGCGAGGGGCATTGAATTCTATTGGACTTATTTAAGGATGCATATTAGTAGATTGTTTAACAATAAGATATTTTCTAAAATTAGAGTAAAAGCGCTCCTAAATTCGGCCTATTGATCCCTATACGTTTGTCTTAGAAAAATTAACAATAAGAATATTTCCTAAACTTAGAATTTTATTGGACTTATTTAAGGGTTTAAATTGTCAGAATACAAGTCCTGAATCCTCAACCCCAGTGAACTCTCCAAGAACACCTTGGTATTCTTTCGGGCATTTTCACAGCTCAAAAATCATCCTTAAAAACGGGCTTCAAGCGTGTAGGAGCTTTGGGACGTTGAGATAAATTCATAACCAGCTTGTCACTTATGGCTGAATCTATGCCTTTCTCATTTAAGGTATTTATAGGCTGTGGAAATACCTATTTAAAACAAAAGAATAAGCAATGCATTGGTATCATAGATTATAATTAAATTACCATAATTATTATGGTAATTATAGATAGTCGACTCGGAATGGTAGACACCTTACGCAATAATTATTCTCTCATGACCCCATTACGAAATTTTCAAATCAAGTGACTTATCAAAGTTTTGATAAGCGGACAATGAAACTTATTAACATCAAAACAAATGCCACATTTTTTTTCATGTTTGTGTATACAAACCACCAATCGTGAGCGTGTTTTTTTGAGTCATATACCGAAACCAAGGTTAAAAGCGAAATGCAAACGATATTTACAAGAGAATACCGTCGGTATCCAAACAGTCGCACGTAAGTGTTACATAAGTGAACGTCTTTTGTTTTGTTGTTGTTTTGCCTCTAAAAATAGGCATGGATGACCTGGTTAAGTTCGAGATGAACCTCGACCCGCCGTCGAAAGAGCTGGAGGCCTACGCCAGGGAGCATCTCGACGAGGATCCCGATACCAAGCTCCAGGTCCTTGCCGAATTCCGCGACCTTATCTTCGGTAAGCTCTTTTAATCGTTAATTAATTTAATTTATTTGTTAAGTGTCGCGAATTTAGTGTTGTGACATAAATTCTACACGCAAATCCATAATTCTTACTAAATTTCATCAGGTGGACGTATTTCAAAATTGTGTGCATGCGTCGTGCAACTTTCTGTCTAAACGCCGCAATTAAATTAATTTTGAAATAAGTGGGCTGTTAATTTTGGAACTTTCATCAATCGCAAGCTTCGGCATTTGAAGATTTGCATCTTCATCTTTGATAAGAAAAGTCAATTGTATTCTTGTTCCTTATCCTTATATCGAAAACTGGATCCCAACTGGTACCGAAACCGTAATCTTCTCAAACTGGAACCTTCACTTTTTAAAAAACGTGCCAATTTGATATAGGTACACGACGGTAACGCTGTTACTCCACTTAAAATTTTGTGTTTTGATGGTTTTAATGACCCGGAACATTGTTGTAAATAGTATTGTTTACGACATGAAAGTATATGTACACAGTTTACTTTACCAAGAAAAGTGGCATTTATACACTTAAAAACTGTACTCTGACATATTAAAAACAAGTATAAAAAGCATTTTTTTAAACCGAAATAGTTTAGTACCTGAATAATTAGGTAATATACACCTATCTATTGATATATATGACCTTCCACCAACACTCTATTTTTTATATATTGACAAGGGTGAAGGGGGGTAGTTGATAGAAACCAGTTCCTTTCGTTGAGACTTTGCATTAGAATACCTTGAAAGATAAATCACACCCCCTCCCACCCCCCATCACCCGTCGATAGCGGATATGATTGTAGAAACCAAATTGATCGATTTCGGCAAGTTCCGACTCGCTTTATCTCGGCACAATTTTATTACGTTGGAAACCGAGCGGGTGTTCTCGATTTTAAAGACCGTGGGCGACTCCAAAAGGTCTCTAGAACATTACTACGAGATTACTAGTCTCTAAAGCGTTTAAAATACTCTATCCCAATTATTTCCCACAAACCAAACCAAACGGATGCCTCGAACAGTGTCCACTTACAAATCACGACGCAGTCTTTCCATCTACAAGGAGATTTTTTTTACGAACGAGTCCCGAAACCGATCGACGATACACTGACCAAAATCTATACTATGAGCAAACATCATATACCGATCTACTCCTACACTTGGCCGACAGTAACCGTGATAATAGGTTTAAGATCTTTTCATTAAATATTATTTAAAAACTGTAAAAAGCTATTGAGGACCTTCAAAAGCTTTTGAAGGCCTCTTGGAGGTGGACGGAATTGGGAATCAATAAAAGGCGACTGGAGGAAGTTAAAAGGCCCTTAAAGGTGTTTAAATATTATGGAGCTCTCTTAAGACTCTTAAAGACTGTGAAAGACATAAAAGTTCTTAAAGACTAAACTTTTAAAAATAGGGACAAGATCAATGAATCAATGATTAAAAAAGTATTAAGGGCTAGAGTAATAGTCAATTAAAGGATCTCAAAGCCTTTAATATTCCCTTGGAGGGCAATGGAGGCCCCTGAATGCCCCTAAAGCTTTTTTAAAGGTTAGAAGACCCCTGAAAGCCTTTGAAAAATCTTAAGACTTTTAAAAACTTAACCGTAGGTGCCCATAGAAGGCTTTTAACGATCTTTAAAGGGCATATATGTGCTTAGGTATCCTTAAAGTTGATGTAGGGTATTAACTCTTTTAATTTTCTAAGGCCCACTAAAAGAGTGTGTGGAACTTTGGAAAGGACGCTACAAAGATTCGGCCCTTAAAGAGAGAGGAAAGGTTTTAAGCAACTCATGGTCCCTGATTTTTCTCACTCAAAGATTTTAGGGACACTTAGAGACTACAAAAGTCTATAAATCTGGAAAGAAGCCATATAAAACCTTTAGAGGTATTGCTGAAGGTTTTTTAAAAACCTGAAGTCACTGGCAATATTTTTTCGGAGACTGTAGCGGGTTAGTAACATTTACAGGGTTACAAACCCCTCTTGTAGGCAATAAATTTGATTCTGTACAGCACTGGTATAAATTTTAGGGTATTTGTAATGAAATAATTAATACCACGGCTAACTCGGTAATGGATAAATTAAATTAGCCTTGAAATTTGTAAACAAATTTATTGTGTAAAACAATAACAATAAATACAAATACAATGTCTCTTACTTTGAGGAAAGTTGGTTCTTTATCTCCACTATTGAAAGACTCTGAAAATCAAAACATCTCCAAATAAATCGACACAATGCAAACAACTCAAAATAACTTACATTTACAATTACGCTTGAACACTCGTTTCTTATCCTAACGCTCTTATTTTTTTCGCATATTAGTCTTTCCTAATGTTGCGGTACACATATAAAATTTCTTATACCGGCAAATTTGTCAAATTAACAAACAATATTTAAATGCTAAAGCTACCACCTTTTAAGTACAAGACCTTTAATGGTTTTAGCGCATTTCCACAAAAATAAAAAAAATGCGCTATTGTGGCCACTTTGTCCGTCCGTCCGTCCGTCCGTCCGCTCGTTTTGCGACGCTACTAGTTCTTTATCTTAAGAGCTATTCTTCTACTTTTTTCGCTATTTGGTTCGTTAAGGTGTCGAGTCTTGTACCAAGGAAGGAATTTTTTCTGTACCGCTTACAAAAAAAGTTATTGTAAAAAAAACAAAAAACCGTTTTTTACATGTTCCATAATTTTACACTTTTGCCGTTTATTAACGATCCTAGAGATCGTTTATAATTTTGCATTGCTATCTGTCGTCTGCCTGTTGGTCTGTCCGTCTGTTCCTTTGTCTGTCTGTTCATCTATCTGTCCGTGTGAACGATAACTTTGTTTAGAAATGTTCGATCGCTTTTACATCTCCGTTAGTTATGAACTGAATTGCATGAAATTCAATATGGGCATCGCTTTAGCCATATAATACGCAATGCCAAAAGTTGAATCGAATCGATTCAAAATTCACAGTGCCCTTTTCGCATCTCGACCATTTATAAACCGAATTGCAAACTTTTTTTTACTTATAAAAGTATTTGAATGAAATTTGGTACATAGGCACTTGAAATAAAGGAAAATCTAACGCCAGTTTCAAAATTTGGTTTCGCGCATGCGCAGTGGCAACTTTTTTATTTATGGAAGAATTTAAATGAAATTTGATACATAGGCACTTGGAATAAAGGAAAATCTAGCGCCAGTTTCAAAATTTTATTTTGCGCATGCACAGTGCCAACTTTTTTATCTATGGAAGCATTTAAGTGAAATTTGATACTTAGGCGCTTGGAACAAAGGAAAATCTAACATTAGTTTTAACATTTAGGTTTGCGCATGCGCAGTTACAACTTTCTTATTTAGAAAAGCATTGAAATGAAATTCTTCTCATAAACTGAAATTGAAGTAACACGTCAAAAATGGATTGCCCATGTGCAACGCTATCTTTCATATTTGTGGCCGGATTTTTACGATTTTAATAGAAGTTGCATCTTACAAATGGGAAATGAATGCAAGTGGAAATGCGCTTTATGTAAATCGTTTACGATTACTTTTTAACTTGTTAGAAACTGTTGGCGACTGTTACAGGCTTTTATAGATTCTGAATCACTTACAAATTCTTTAAATTCGTAAAGGGTGTTAAAGGTTTTTCAAGATAACGGTAGCTTTTAGATTGACATGGTTTCTTTTAGAGATTTAGTCAATTTTTTTAATCTTTCGGGGTCACAATAAAGAGGTTAGAGTCGACTACAAAGGAATTGAAGGGCGGCCTTTGTCTGATACCAGAGATAAATGACATATTTCGAAAAGTAAGCGCTTTGCAAGATCGAAGAGAAGAATTTTGATCAAGAACTACGACTAGAAAACGAAATGGGGTCACTTCGACTATTTGCCCTCCAAATACCTAAACGTGTTTAGTATCTCAAGCGTAAAGATTAAGTATCCCTTCCATTTCTCGCTATAAATAGCCAAGCAAGTTTCGTTTTCAATAATATGAAAGTGACGCAATGCAATTCACATAATTTTTAACCTTTATTCTTCAAATCGAATTTAGAGGCGTCTGTTCAGTTTTTATCTGGTCGACTTCGAAAAAACTCTTCGGAAGCGGTATGGAACTTCAACTCAGAAAAAAGGGTGCAGGTGCCATGCACTTTCGATTTGTCTTACAACAAATCCCGTTACTCGACCTAGATGTGTAAACGCCAACGTAACTGCAATCAAATTTGAATTAGCAACATTTATTTCTAATTGCACCATTGAACTTGGTAACGACTGTAATGTGTTTTGGTGGTAAAAAGATCAAGACACGCCTGAGGCACAATTTGCAGGTTCGCACCAACATTTTTATAATTGAGAAAATTTTAAAGATTTCAAGAAACCGTTGGTAACAAAAACACCCTGTATCTATAAGATTTTTTCTTAGGATTTTTAGACTTCTAATATCACTAAGAGGCTTCGCAAGATTTCGAAAAAAGTTCCTCAAGTAAATCTCTAGGAGCATTTCTAAGCCAATAGGTTTTCCCAGGGGTTTTCCTAATTTCCACTAAATTTTTCTACAAATGTTTCTATTTGCTAAATTTGCAGAACGATGTGTAAACTGACTACGCAGACATTGAGAAATTATTAATGAAACTCATCATCTGTTCTCTGCATCGCAGGACCTAGTGGTCTTCCTTTTTCTTTGGTACGTACCCTTCTCTCTCTACCTTCACGTCTTCTATCACCTTCATCCTGATTCTCCCTCTACTTCCGCTTTCATCCACAGTTCCTTCCAGAACTTCTCTTAGTCTCTGTTTATTAATGGTGTTCATGTTTAATCTCTTTTCTCCAACTTTTTCCAAAATTTCATCATATTCCACCTGGTATTTCCACTTCATCTTCACAATCCATATCCATATCAAAGCTTCCTTCACCAATTCGCTTCTTTCATCGAATCTTACCGCCCTGCCCCTCGACGCCATCCTTATCTTTTCCATTTTAGTTTCTTCCTATAAAGTACAATTTGATATCGTTCCATTTA